CACACACACACACACACACACATACACACGCACATATATGCACACATATGTGATAAAATAGGAAATGAATGATTGACTAGGAAATGAGTTGGGTACAAATATGAAACCCTAGAAAACTGTACCCCATAGTGTCTACCCCACTACAGCCTAGACAGGCTATGTGATTAATGTTTGACACACCCCCATAGGCAAAGTGGGGGAGAACAAGGGGTCACAAGACCAGTCAAGCAAAGCAAAGCAAAGCAAGCTCAGGGTGGATCACAACGTCACCACACATTCCGAGCACAGGTTCAAAGGCCACAAGGCCAGTTCACATGCATGATTATAAATAAAAGGTAAACAGGCAAGTGCAGATATATATAGATCACAGTACAAGTAAAGTCAAGAGGTAAGCAAGTGAGGCCAAGTAGGCACAAGACCTAGCATAGTACAGAAGCGCTGATGATCACAAGGCTGAAGTGCCTTGGTGAAGATATCAGCAGTGTTGGCCTGGGAGGCCACGTAAGCAAGACGCAGCTGACCACGCTGCTGCAGCTCACGAGCAAGGAAGTAGCGAAGAGCAATGTGCTTCGTTCTGTGCTCCAGTCTGTGCTCCCCACACAAGGCCAGCATGGCCTTGTTGTCTACGTACAGAACCGGAGGAGAACGAGGCGGCTCACCGAGGTCAGTCAGCAGGTAGGTGAGCCAGCGTAACTCCTGTGCAGCCATGGCCCCTGCGTAGATCTCAGCCTCACAGCTGGAGCTGAGAACAGAAGACGAGCGAGTAGACCGCCACAAAACAGAGCCGGAACCAAGGCTGAAGGTGTAACCCTGTGACGACCGCTGCGTAGCCAGGTCGTCAACCCAAGACGCGTCTGCGTGGGCAGTGAGGACCACTGGACTCCGCCCTCCAAGCACTAGCCCCATGCCCGACGTACTGCACAAGTAGCGCAACACCCTCTTCGCTGCAGCCATGTGCTCTAGTCGGTGTCTCCCAGGAGCAACATAGCGTGCCAAGATGCTAAGAGGGTATGCCAGATCAGGTCGAGTGCAGGTCATCAGGTACATGAGGCAGCCAACAAGCTCTGGGTACGGGCCACTCGGCTCTACGGACTCATCCGAAGGCAGAGCTGAGAGCGAGTGGCGAGTAGACAGAGGAGTGGCCTGAGGCGAGGAGTACGTGAAGTCGAAGCGCTAAAGGACCTACTGCACCATGTGTGACTGAGTCAGGGTAATGGTGCGCCGTGCTCTGTCCCGAGTGATCTGCAAGCCAAGATAGCTGCGCAGTTCACCCAGGTCTGTGCACGTGTGTCTCTTCTGCAGCTCGGACTTCACGTGGGCGAGTCCAGCAGTGTCAGCCGTAGCAAACACCAAGTCGTCGACGTACACGAGGATGTAGAACGGCGGCAGCAAAGTGTCGGTGCGAAGAAACAGCGACGGGTCAGCAGTGGAAGGAGCAAACCCAAGAGCCGCAAGCGTAGTCCTCAGTGTGTCGTGCCACTCACGGGGCGCCTGGCGGAGACCGTAGACTGGCCGCCGGAGGCTCCACTGGGTACCAGGAGGAAACGACCCAGTGAAGCCAGGTGGGCGGCGCAGCCAGATCTCCTCGTGTAGGCTGCCCTGTAGGAAAGCAGTGCTGAAGTCAAGGGAGTGAAGCTCGTAGTCACGCTGAGCAGCGACGTGCAGCAGAACCTGAAGAGTGGTCATCTTCGGGGTCGGGGAGAAGGTTTGAAAGTAGTCAACTCCCTGCCGCTGACTGAAGCCTCGAGCCACGTAACGCGCCTTGAAGACAGGCGGAGAACCCGGCGGCCGCTTCACCCTGAAAATCCACATGCCACTGACGATGTTCGCCCCAGATGGGGGAACCTCGTCGACGTAGGTGCCTGTGGACTTCCAAGAAGCCATCTCTGCGTCCATGGCTGACTGCCACTAAGAGGAGTAGGGACCCTCTATCGCCTCTGTGTAAGAGCGCGGGGTCGGGATGTCTGGTGCATCCAGGTCTCCCTCAGGGGCAAGCAGCACGGACACGAGATGAGGTAAAGCAGCAGCAAAACACTGGAACTCCTCCTGCCTGTCCTCAAGGACGTCCGTGCTAAGAGCACACTCACCCCCGACGGACGGAGGACAGACAGACGCAGACTCAGCAACAAGACTAGCGGCGTAGTCTAGACGACAGTGAGCAGCAAAGTCGACAAGTTCAGCAACTAAGGCAGACGCAGTAGCAGACTTAAAGAAAGGGTCAGTGACAGCAGTGGCTAGGAAACGCGTGACAGTAGGATTGGCAGCACGAAGGGAGTCAGACTCCGGGTCAGCAAGAGCAGGAAGAGAGGACGCTGGAGGAGACGGCAAAGGGACACGCTGTGACGCAGTGGAAGGACGCAGTGCCATCTGATGCGTGCCAGGGACCGCAGGAGGACGCGGACGCGGAACACGACGACTAGGGCGAGCAGTACGAACAGGTGACGCAGGACGCGACTCAGGCTCACGACGCTCAGCAAGACCTCCAGTAGGACCAGCGTAGGGAGAAGGAGCAGGTAGTGGAGAGGCTAGCCGTAACTGTGACTCGGACTGGACAGGCGGTGGACACTCTAAGGAAGGAGCAGGACCAGAAGAAGGCGGAAGACCAAGAACCTGCTCAAGGAGCGGAACGAAGTACGGCCGCGGCCGCGTAGCGCCTCCAGGACCAGCAGGGACAGCACCAGCACCTGCAGCGTCAGCACCAACTCCAGCAGCACCACCAGCACCAGCAGCACCACCAGCAGAACCAGCAGGGACAACACCAGCACCCCCAGCGTCAGCTCCAACTCCGGCAGCACCACCAGCACCAGTGGTACCTCCAGCAGCTCCAGGAGCGCCAACTCCAGCACCCACAGGAGTACCGGCTCCAGCAGCACCTCCAGCTCCAGTACCTCCAGCAGCCCCACCGGCAGATGCAGTAGCTCCAACTCCAGTAGCACCACCAGGCCCAGCAGCTCCAGCACCTCAAGCAGAAGCAGAACCTCCAGCACCGGCAGCACCGCCAGCTCCAGCAGCACGGCTCCAGCGCCGAGCAAACCACTCGCGCAGCTCCTGTGGAGAGAGTAGCTCCCGCCGGGACAAAGCACCCGAAGGACCTCCAGGTCCAGCACCGGCAGGTGCCGCACCCCCACGCTCAGCAACCCCAAGCTCAGTACCTTCAGGCTCAGCACCCCCAGGCTCCGCACGCGCAGGCTTAGCACCCCCAGACCCAGCACCCCCAGACCCAGCACCCCCAGGCACCGCACTCTCAGGCTCAGCACCCCCAGAAGCACCAGAGTCAACAGCTACCTCGACAGGCTCGACTGCATCTACCTGGGACACACCTGAGGGGGCAGGACCCTGAGGGGGGAGGGGGTCTACCGGGGGGGGAACGGGCGTGAGGAAGAGCGGCAGGGTGGGGAGGGGGGCAGTGCGGTAGGGAAAGAGACGGTAGTACGGAACCGACTCGTCAATCGTGACGTCCTAGGAGGACAGAACACGACGCGAGGTGGGGTGGTAAAACCGCCAACCAGGCGCGTCAGGGGGAAAGCCGAGGAAGACGCAAGGAACAGCACGGGAGGACAGCTTGTCCGCAGACAAGTCTCGGACGAAAGCTCGAGATCCCCAGACACGGAACGCAGACGCATCACCAACCTTCCCCGTCCACCGCAGAGTAGGGGAGGTCTCCGGCAGGGAGACCCGGGGCTGAAGGTTGATCTGATGCGCCGCGTACTGAACCGCAAACGGCCACAGAAAATGGGGGGCACCCGCATGGATCATGGACGTACGAGGGACGTCCATGACCATGCCAATGCGGCGCTCAGCAATCCCATTTTGCTGTGGAGAGGCCGGAAGCGTGAACGTCTGGCGGATGCCCTCCGCACGACAGAAGGCTCGCAGAAGGTCGGAGGAAAACTCTCCACCTCTGTCGGAGTGCAGACGCAGAACAGGAAAGTCCGAGCCGAAACGCTCTCTGAGCTTGCGACGAGCAACGCGGATCCAGTCGATCAACACCTCAGTGACCTCATCCTTGCGGCGCAAGGGGAAGACTGTGGTGTAACGCGAGTAGTCGTCAACGACCAGGAGGAAGTAACGCTCGTGACCCTGTCCACGAACGCGGGCTGGGCCCCACACGTCCATGTGAAGAGTCTGCAGCGGAGCCTCTGTCGGAGGAAACTCGGAGGAGTGAGGAGTGGCGCGCTGCCGCCCCTCGACGCAGGGAACGCAGGTAGGGGCAGGCCCCGGGGGGAGGGGAGGGAGGGACCGGGGGAGACCAGAGACAAGGACACGGGAGGCCATGCCTCGGAGACGAGGCAAGGAGGGGTGACCAAGGCGGTGGTGCCAGAGGAGGGTCTGGTGGGACAGGAGGCGACACGAGCAGGGGGCAGACTCAGGACCTGACCGAGACGCTGCAGCAAACACCTGACCCGACGCAGCTACCTGACCAGACGCAGCAACCGGTGGAGACTCAGTGGTCAGTGTGTACAGGCTCGACCCCGGACGACAGGTAAACGTGGCCAAGTGGCGGCCCGTCTGAGCACACGAGCAGTGGGTCACTCGCTGACTCGCAGGAGTGAACTGGTCAACCCCGGCATCCTGAAGGTCAGCACCACTCACCAAGTTCGTAGAGAACGAGGGGAGGTAAAAAACGGGACAGGGAGCCTGACGGGGCCACCGGACACGGGAGGACAGTGGAGTAGTGGGCAAGGACAGGACCCCCAGAGGGGTCTGCCAAGGAGACCGCAACCGGCCGACTGAGCGGCGTAAGGGTGGTGCGGTCTCGAAAGAAGGAGCGGGAAGCACCCGAGTCGAGGGTGAAGGTGTGCAGAACCTGAGCCGACGCAGTACCTGAGAGAGCAGACGCACTAGCACCTGGAGCAGCAAACTCACCAGCACCTGGAGCAACAGACTCACTAGCACCTAGAGCAGCAGCCCCAATGCCTGGGTCACTGGTGGTTATGCCACCAGTGGTTATGCCACTGGTGGTTATGCCACTGGTGGTTATGCCACTGGTGGTTATGCCAATGGTGGTTATGCCAGTGGTGGTTATGCCAGTGTTGGTTATGCCAGTGTTGGTTATGCCAAGGGTGGGTGCAGCCTCTTGAAAAAGAATCTGCTCTGTGCACAAGAGAAATGGGGGTGCTAGATGCTGCTGCTGCGTTTGCATCTGTATAAGATGCTGTTTCTGCTTCTTCCGCTGCCGCTGCTCCTGCATCTGCGTCTCCTGCTGCTGCTGCTGCTGCTGCTGCTCCTGCATCTGCGTCTGCTGATGCTGCTGCTGCTGCTGCTGCTGCTGCTGCTGCTGCTGCTGCTGCTGCTGCTGCTGCTGCTGCTGCTGCTGCTGCTGCTGCTGCTGCTGCTGCTGCTGCTGCTGCTGCTGATGCTGCTGCTGCTGCTGCTGCTGCTGATGCTGCTGCTGCTGCTGCTGCTGCTGCTGCTGCTGCTGCTGCTGCTGCTGCTCCTGCATCTGCGTCTGCTGCTTCTGCTGCTGTTGCTGCTGCTGTTTACCCAGCTGGTGATGCCCGTGCTTTTGCAAACAGATGCAATTATCTGTCTCAGTTTGCAGCTCACCACCTGTGATGCCCACGGAATTGAGAGGCACGGGACGTGGTTGCTCTCTTTGAGTGTACATAAAGCCGCCTGCTTGAGTAAATGAAGGCTGGGGAGTGTTTGTTGCGTCACAAGGCAAGCGGGAGCAGAGTGCAGGATCAAGCAACGGAGGGAAGGGGGATGGATGAGGAGGCGTGGTAGATCGAGAAGGGGGGCAGGAGAAAGAAACCTGATGAAAGGGTAAATCTGGAGCATTAAAGGAATGACCAAGGGGATCCGATGAAGGAGAGGCTGCCTTGCTGGGAACCGAGGGTGGATATCTGGTTAATGCTGACACGCAAGCTGTAGCAGGAGGAGGGCTCAATGCAGGAGTGATGGTGGTAGCAGGAGGGGAGATTGCGGTAGGTGTGCGAATGCAGGGTGTAGCAGGAGCAGAAATGGAAGCTGGGGCGCAGAATGTAGCAGGAGCGGAAAATGTAGCAGGGGCGGAAAAAGTAGCAGGAGCGCAGGTTGAAGCAGGAATACAGGCTGTAGTGCGAGCGGAAAAAGTAACGGGAGCAGAGGCTGTGGTGGGAGGCAAGGGTACGCGAGAAGAGAGAGTAGTGGGAGAAAATGATGCTGAATCACAGGCTGTAGTGGGCGAAAGGGATGCAGAAGGGGTTGTGGTGGGAGCCAAGGATGCAGGAGCTAAGGTTGTAGTGGGGGCGAAGAATGCAGAAGCAGAGGATATAGTGGGGGCAAATGTTGCACAAGCAGAGGCTGTTGTGAGCGCAAAGGATGCAGGAGCGCAGGCTGTAGTGGGAGAAAGGGATGCAGAAGGGGTTGTAGAGAGAGCAAATGATGCAGGAGCTAAGGTTGTAATGGGGGAAAATGATGAAGGAGCAGAGGATGTAGTGGGGGCAAAGGATGCAGGAGCGAAGGTTGTAGAGGGAGCAAGGGATTCCGGAGCCGGCCAAGCTGAAACCGAGGGGCATGATGCAGCGCTGCTAGGAGGACCCTGTGTAGCTGGAGCGAGGGTGGTAGTGGGGTACCAGCTTACAGCAGCAGGGCTGGTGGAAGAAACGCCAACTAAGCTCGTTCTACAAGCATCGGGAAGCGGCGGCGGGTGGTTATGCGAGCCGTGGTATACCGTCCTCAGTACCACACGCATCTCAGTCCTTGGCATCTCCACACTGTCAGTTTCCTCGCTGCCTTCTGGGCTACCCGGTGCAGCATCCACAGCGGGATCCGACCCGCTTGTAGCAGAAGCACCGGCGCCGCCTCTGAATGCGGCCTTTGAGACGGTTCTTACGCCTTGATGTCTGGGCGCGGCGAGGGTGTTTGAGCGGCGGTGCCGGGCCTCTCCGGCCACGCGGTCTTCGATTTTCTTTGCCGTGCAGCCCGTCATTTGCTTGGACGCGCACACAAAGTACAACCTGCAGTAGTCAGTGGAAAATAATAGCAGCAGCCCATTTTAAAAGTCCCGAAACTGTCTTGCAAACCTCTAAAAGGAGGCAAAATGTCACAGGCCCACAAAATATTTCACAGGGTAGATCTGACACAATCACGCTGACTATCTCTATTCTGAAGCAGCTTTTCTTTTCATACCCAGTGAGTATGCAAGAAGTATCATGGTGGATAATAGGCGAGTCGCCTTCTTAACGATAGCGACATCAGGGTGTTGCATGAGACTTCAACCTCACCTTTTCATCTGTAGGCCCACAATGCGCTTGTGTGCTGTCTTTTTCCATTTGTACTCTTCAGGTGGCAAGTGTTGCACCTGATTCGAAGTTGTGAGATGCGTCTGAAACTGCGTCTGCGGCGCATTCGGCGTGTATTGCACCATTTCAGTCAAGGCCAGCATCGCTGAGGGTAACCCAGCATGAGCATCATGCTGATTCTGAATATGATGTGTCTCTGAACTTGATCCCAAAGCTGAAACCCTGAGGGTAGCAGGCTGGGGCCACCGCGGCATCGGACAGATCATATTGCTGTGCTGATGTTGTTGCTGCTGCTGATGATGATGCTGGTGCTGCTGCTGATGCTGCTGGTGGTGCTGCTGTTGCTCTTGCATCTCTTGTTGGCCGCTTGCACGGACAGTTTCCGGCGGATGATCATGCTCCACGCTGTCCATGCTTGGGGCTCGCTGATCCGTCGAACTCATGCTCTGATCAGTTTTCTCTGCAGAGGATTCTAGAACAAGAGTCGTGTCGAGTCTGGCTGAAATAGACTCCATTAGACGGCCTGCCAGGTCCAGACTGTGTGTTGAACGCCACTGCTGAGCAAGTTTCTATATCAGAACTGGAGATGAAAGCGTTGCGGCTGAGACTACTGCTACGAAAATGACTGATGTTAGAGTCGAAATGACTTCTTAGTAAGCACGTGGAGCTCTTCATCGGAAACGTTTGCATCGACAAATGTGGCGCCGCCTTGCTTTTGGTCCAGAGACATGTTGTGGAGCGGCAGCAGGGTGCCAGGCATAGCTGGCTGGATGTGGTCAGTCAGGCGTATGGAGGAAGGCGAGGGGAGGGGGTTGGGTTGATGGGGTGGGGAGGGATTTGGGGTTGGTTACAGGGGATAACTCTCGGCGCAAATTAGCGATCTTAGTGCAGTCAATGAGGGGTATGCCATCTTTCACAGGATGGTGTTCACAGGAAGTTCCCCCACTCGAAGTTCCCCAAAAGCCCCAAAAGTGCATATATTCGGGTCCAGCGTGGCAGTTGTGCAAATGACCACACCCTATCCACGTGCCATTCGAATGTGGAGACTGTACACTGATTGACGAGTTTGAGCGAAATATCAAACCCAATCAGTTGCGTGTAACACCAGCAATTTCAAGATCGTTCTGAACTCGTTTTCGTAAGGTCTTGGTGCTGTTTGAAAAAATTGCAAGCGTGGGTGAAAACGAGGGTGATCGGGGGAAGGGGGTTCAGGGTCATGTTACAATTGTCAACTAATCAATTGAATCGTACGAAACGCTTCTAAGTGTCACTGTTCTTCAAGAACATGAAAATGATCTCATGTTCGCAAATGTCAGAAGCCCTAGTAGCTTCGTTGTTTTCTTTCAACCGCCCGACAGCACGTGTTTCTGTTATAAAATCACAGTTCATGCCAGCCGAGATGGTCACACAGTATGCGAAATCAATTGGCTTTCGCGAAACCCGAAACCTTTGACTCATTGGTGAAGTATGCACTCGGGCAAGAGAATGCTTCGATATCCAAAGTGAGGGAGTGTCCCAAGCATTCCTTTTTGCACAAAACCCACCCTACCAAGAATTGACCGCTGTACAGCTTAAGCATTTCATTGAGCCGAATTCGGATGAACAAGGTGCGTGGGCCATTTCACGCGTGGGACCTCTCCTCTGGATGACAAATTCAGGCCCCGTGTATTTTCCGGGTGGTTTCTCCAGTTCCTGCTGTATTTTATGGGAAAATTCGACCTTTACAGGTTAGCTGGGTGACCTGATTTCGGAACTTGGGGTTTCTTTGGTTGCCCGTGCTCTCCCTCTTGTTTGTGGGGCTGCAACCAGTTTGCATCAAGCACGAAAAGTGCTTGTCAAGCACGAAAAGTGTTTGTCAAGCACGAAAAGTGCTTGTCAAAGCACGAAAAGTGCTTGTCAAGCACGAAAAGTGCTTGTCAAGCAAGTACACTTGAAGCACGCATAAATAAACATTTGAATATGAACTACGTATGGGCAATTCTCGACGGTCATGGCAACGGCACACAGTTTACTTTGACTGCAACCAAAGCTACTCATGTCTCCCATTCAACAGGCTAAAAGCCAAACCTAGTAATAATAAATTTCACTCCCTTAAAGGATTTCCAGAAGACCCTAAATTATTTTCATCAGTCAAATCCCTGACAATAAAGGCTACAAATAGGCTAGCTTATCCATAATATGTGGTCGCAAATCCTTTTACATTTATGTCTGGAACCATTATATACTCACATGAGCTAGCTTTTTTGTTCCAATCATCTTTGTGTTCCCCTTCTTGAGTGAGCCAAAAACAATATATTGAATCAAATGAAATACCTTATGCAAATCAGTAGTTCGGTAGTGATCACTACAATATTATCGTAGTAATATCATAGATGAATGTACAGTAGCAAGTGTCCATTCGTTAGAGTTACATGTAGTAGCGCGAATAGTCTCACGACTATTAGCGTTTCTCAGCCTGTCATAGTACTTACAATAATTTATGAATCGTTGTGCACGAGAATTGTTCTAGGGTAAATAAATGATATCCGAAAATGATATGAAAGGTCAAATTCTGTATGATAAGGTGTAAAAAAACTTTCAAAAATCTGTAACTCTATTATGATACAAAGTTCAGGCCGGATATTCATTAAGCTGTCGGAATCCGAGTGAGGAGCGTATTGATTTCCGAAAAAACAAGAAAGAAAATGGAATCAAGTGTACGCGCAACGTACAGTATCAGCAGCGGATGTCAGTCAGTTCAGTCAGAATCTATAACTGTAACCGCAAAAGTGATTTTTTTGTACAGTGCACCGACAGAAAAGCCAAGCTGACAAAGTGGTATACTTGCTGAGAGTCGCACCGCTTGTCGGATTCGAATGTCAGGGAGGTGCGTCTCGACAAAAATGTAACTGTAAAGTGCAAAATGGCCAGCTCTGTAGTTATACTACACAAATTACAATTCTAAAATAGTGGATTCACTATTTGCCATCTCCGGGAGCTGGACAACGGCAAGCCTAACAGGAGTCTAGTCTCCCCTTCTGTAAAAGCCAGTACAAATATCATCATGTTATCACCAGAATTGTTTAAACATAGCACTGACACTCTGTAATGTTGTGATATATGGGGCGTATGTGATTACCGTATGGCCCCGGATATAACCGACATCCTATTAAAAACGCTGGCGCTTATATCTAGAGCATGTCGCTTATGGCCGGTCCCCAAAGAACACGCGTGTATTAACGTAATATTGGCTTCGCGCTATACATGCACGAAATATTGGCTTCTTCTCGGATATGGAGCTGCACAATTTTTGGCACGCCATGCTCATACCTGTGCTATGTTAGCGAATGATTTCTCATCTGAAATTGATCAGGAGGCCAAACAAATTTGACGCTCGAAGCTCAGCCCAACCTTTCTGCGACGTTAGAGGCGTCAACTACGATTAGCTATGTCGTCCTCGAGCAGCTACTCCAACGACTATCAACTTTGGAGCAAGGAATCCAAACATTGCGGAATGGCGACGCGGACATTTCCTCCCATCCTACTCAACCCACTCAACTGGTCACGACTGACCGTAGTGTTGGGCTGAGAAAAGCCCTTAGGATCTTTGCAGGACTAAATTCAGGGTAGGACAATGTAATAGCGGAAGCGTTTAATAAAGGGCTTGTGAACCACCTTGCGCTGGTATGTGAGGGCAAAGTTGATTGATTAAAACAAAGAGATACAAGGAATATGAAGAGATACGGTTATTAACCGTTTTACTGTTGCTGTTGCGGTTCGATACAGTGTCGACTCGAGCAACTGCTCAGTAGCGAGTCAGTTGTTTGTCCTTGCTGTCGCACTGTATTTGTCAGGTCAAAGGTCGCTGACCTTTGACTTTCGCATAACCTCCAGCAGTTGTTCAACCTCCGAGGGTTGACTCGCTGATGCTTCGATATGTTTCGCTTCGCTTCTGACTTGGTGTTTCGACACGACAGAGGCGCTTAAATCAATTGTTTCCAACACTCCCCTTCGCTTCTGGAGTGTCGCTGCTGATGACGTGGCTTTGTCCAGTCAGCAGCATGCAATATTCGAACTTCGACTTTCCGAGCTTCCTGGTCAAGTAATCAGCTGCCATCTCGGATGTGGGACAGTAAGACAGCTCTAGTCTCCCCTTCTCGATCTCGTCCTTTACGAAGAAATATCGCAGGACGATATGCTTCGTCCTGTTCGCGAATCCGTTTTTGTTGGCTATGCGAATTGCCGACTGGTTGTCGCAGAACAAGGAGAAGCTGGGTAACTGAGCCAGCTTCGCCTCCTCCAGAAGTTCGCGAAGGTACAGTCCTTCCTTGGTGGCTGAGCAGAGTGCGATATATTCAGTTTCAGCTGAGGAGAGAGCGATTAGTTCCTGCTTGCTCGATTGCCAGGAAATAGGTCCGATAGGTTCGAGGCGATAGATGTAGCCGGTGCGTGAGCGTCTATTGTCGGGATCTCCGGCGTGATCTGCGTCGACGTAGCCGACTAGTTTAGGTATCGTAGTCCCGTTCTTGTGGTAGGTTAGACCGACGGTTGCGGTGCTGACGAGATAGTGGAGAGCGCGGTCGAGTTCGGCCATGTGTTCTCCTTCAGGTCTCTTGAGA